ATTGTCCCCAAATGTAGGGTTTCTGTTTTAAAATTGCCCCCAAATGTCACCAAAGCTGAACCCACACACACACGCACGCACGCACGCATGCACGCACACACACAGGTACTCATTTTTTTGTGATGCATTTGTTTTTACATAAAGGACATGAAGTTATGACCAAGCTATGAATGTTTTTTTTATGATGTTAACAACATTCTCACCACCTAGTGGTGCAGCCTAGGTGTTTTTATTAGAATTGTGTGAAGACAGGAAAAAAAATCAATTGAAAAAAATGTCTGTTTATACAATATGGGATTAATTTTGCCTTGATTCTGTTTTGTTTTTCTCTGATCTGTGCAATTGATAAATTATTCAGTTTCTTTAGTGATAGCCAGTACTTTTTGTGGTAGTTTTTATTAAATGATAGAAGTTTATTTACCATTCATCCATGTGTCCATCCATYGCCTTCCGCTTGTTCTGGAGACGGGTTGTGGGAGCAGCAGCTTAAGCAGTAAAGTGCTCTTGTCACGGTTTTGCWGGCAAATAACCCAGGGCGCAGGCAGGTTCAAAAATCAAAAACAAGGCCTTTAATATGAAGCAAARGGCTGACAGGGCAGCACAAAAAAACTCACGTGGTTTGGCAAATGTCTCAGGAAACATGAAAACACAACACAGTCAGGGTCAACAGCACAATGATAGGACGAAGACAAGAACACAAGACACTGAATATAAAGGGAAACTAATGAGGACAATGAGAAACACCTGGAGCAGACACAAGAGGAAACAGGTGAGCGAGGGCGGGGCTGCAGGGCAGAGAAACACGGGGAAACACTGAGACCCTAGAAAAAACCAAGGAACCAAAAACTTAGACCATCACACCTCTGCATACTCCATCCAAAGCCGAACAGTCGATGCGCGGTCACGTGGGTTTTTTCGGCATTTGTTTTCGCACACATCTTCATAGTCCCTGAGACACCCCGGGCCCAGCTCCTGGGGAAACCCCTCCCACTGCTGCATACGTCACTACAGGGGGGTGGGGGGTTTCCCACTGAAAGTCCACAGTGCGGGAAAAAAAGTCAGAGACTCGTCACCCGATGTTATTTACCCACAAATCTGTCGCAGTTAAAGCTCCAAAGTTTTTATCAGTTTGATTCCACCATGCAAAATGCTTGTTTTATCTCCTTCCATGTGTTTTTGGCCGTTTGACTATATTTATAAATCGCTGCTTCCTGCTACAACAGTTGGCTCGTAAAGCGAGTCACTTTTCTTTTTTTTCCTTTTTTGCTTTTTGTTTGTTTGTTTGATGTTAAAACAAAATGCAGCTTCTGAGAGCGCTTTCAGCACAAACAAACACTCCCACGAACTTCTGACCAATCACACAATAAGTTCTTATGTGGAGGGGGGTAAAAAAGTTCGACCAACATGTTGTGTCGAGAAACTGCCGAAATGTCRGCAATGCGAACAGAATGACGCAATTTTCATCATGAAACTGTGACAATCCGAACCCATTTTAGCAGTTTGGAGGGATTATGCAAGAGTCTTAAGGCACTGACCTCTCCCCAGCCACTTCTTCCAGCTCTTCTGGGAGGATTCCAAGGGGTTCCCAGGCCAGCGTGACCTGGACCTTCTTCCCAGCTGGATATGCCTGAAGCACCCCTCAGGAAGCTTCAGGTACTGAATGGCCCATAACAACGGACCCACAATMCTATGCTCGCAGAGCACCCACCWCAGTGTACCTCKAGGAACATGGTCAAATCCCTTCTCCAAATCCTCAAAACACATGGAGACTGGATTAGCAAACTCCCATGACCCCTCGAGGACCCTAGTGAGGGTCATGTGTTGGTCCAGTGTTCCATGGTCAGGGAGGAACCCGCATTGTTCCTCCTGAATCTGAGGTTCAACCATAAATCAGACTCTCTTCTCCACCTTATTAGRCCTTATCAGGGAGAATGATGCCCCTGTAGTTAGAACACACTATCCGACCCCCCTTTTTGAAGAGGGGAACCAATTTTAGGTCTACAAATCCAGTAGCTCTGCCCTCGATGTTCATGCAGTGTTGCAAAGGTGTGTCAGCCAAGACAGCCCCACAACATCCTGAGCCTTGAGGAAATCAGGGCAGATCTCATCCACCACTGGTGTCCTGTCGCCGTGGAGATTTTTAACTACCTCGGTGACCTCAGACCTTGTTATGGATAGACCAACCCCAAAGTCCTTGGACTCTCCTTCCTCCATGGAAGATGTACCAGTGAAATTGAGAAGTGGCTTAAGGTCACTTACCCGTTCAACGTTGTTTTAATAAATAATTACGTCTGTAAATAAAACAACACTGAAATTTGTATTTTGTTAATTATATTTCGTAGAGATGAATCTGATTTGCCTAAACTTAAAATCTTCAGGTCAGAGCTTTACAAAAAAATCAGAAATTAGAACTACCTTTTACCAGTAATTTTACTTACTGTAAAACAGTATTTATTAAATCTTTTAGAGAAATAATTTACTTCATATACTTATTTGCATTGAGGCAGCTCTCTCACTGATTTGGTTTTCAAGTGTTTACATTTACCRTTTTCAGACATCACCTGGATCCTAAAAGGAGATGTTTTTTACATTACCACACCAGATTTTTTTGTTATTTATTTAAACAAAATGTGTAGGCTTTGTCAAACTGTGCTTTTCCTGAGATGATCCCGACAGCAGCTACAATCAGAGCTCTTATCCACCTGTCAGTGTTTGTTTTCAGCCAACATCAATATGTCATTTTAAAKCTTTTATCATTGAGATGTACTGATTTAAAATAGTGTTTCTCTAACAAAGAAAAAAGCGATCATGATGTATTACTACACTCATCATGTGTTTCCTCCTGGAGGGGCATGTAAAACAGCTGAATCAGACAACATAAGACTTTTTTTGTTTTGTTTTGTTTTGTTTGGCTTTTTTTTTACAGGGCTGTTGAGTTACAATACAAACTGTTTACAGAGGTGCCATCAGTGTCCTTTGAGACATCTATAACATGACTTATTTTTGTCCTGCCTGTCAGATCAGTTAGGTATATTTTCCCCCATAATATTTTGGAATTGGAAAGTACAAGTATTTGTCTGCAATCCTTACATCTAATTTTAGTATTGCATTGCCACAGGCCTATAGGCCATAACATAAATCTGCACACAACTTCTTTCCTCTATTGAAGGTTAATCATCAGACTTTAAAACTTGTGTTCTGTATCATTGCTGAGTCATCATTCATACATCTGCAGATATATAACTGCTTCATTGACAGTTTTTAACGGCCAATCAGAGTTTTGCAGTCTTTTCACATCGGTATCAGTTCACTTTGCTTGGATCCTCAAACAAGGTGGATTTTTTTTTTAAACGTACACATCACAAATAGTACAGCTTACAGTGAAATACGACATATTTGGGTCAAATTGAGTTGTACATTGCGATGGAAAGGACTTTTGTAAACAAAGTTAAAACATGTAAACATTGATAAGTTGTAAGCTTAAAGAGAAAGCAACTCCACTTAAGTTGGTTTCACTTGTAAAAATGTCTGAGTGGGAAATGAAGAGATCTTTGAATGTAAGGAAAAATTAATTCATAGGTAGGTTTAGGCTTTAAAGCAGTTATACTAATAGGTTTTTAAAATATTTGAACATGTAAAAATCTATAAATCTTACCTAAGTTTCTCATAATGTTAAAACTCAAGGATTTAAATGAGAAGAGGCTCTGTCTGACTTTTTTTCCCACCCTCTCTCACTGTTTCTTCTAGAACAGGAATGTGATAATACCTCCCTAATGAGATTTAATCTTCAGAAAAGCCTCATACACACAATAACACATGCAGAGGTGAGGCTAAAACTTCTGACAGCTTTGAACGGAGCTCCTGAATGACATGGAGACTACATTAGCTACGAAAACAACACTTCAGTCTTTTCTTTTTTCTCACAAGTCTTGCCTTTTTTTTCTTATTTCTTTTATTTCTGATCCTTATGAATCAGTGTTTGCCTTTGTGTTTGATTAGCAGAAGAAGATATATATATATAGAGTGCATATTGCAGCAC